CATGCTAATGATGGGATATTCTTGGATGAGTCATCATGCTAATTCTAGATGAGTGCATTAAGTGGAGGATCTGATGCATATAGTAAAAGCATGGTTCAATTTAAAACGTGATGAATGGACCTGACCAGGTGGTTTGGCAGGCATGGCATATCTTCTGATTTGATATTAATGACATGCTATGGCATATGGATAGTTGACGTTGTGGCTTATGTTTGAATTTGGTATATCTACTTTGTTATATCATTCTTTAACAAACATCAATGAAGTCAACGGACAGAACATCATTTTTGGTAAACAAGATGAATCATCTGAAAATTAATATTGAATTTTTATGGTTTCCGTGTCCTTTAGGGATAATTGATTACAAATTAATACATCACTATTTGATCAGATTTCAAAGATTTCTTTGAATGTGTTTCTCCATTTTAAATTTTGTATGATGGTTGTTATGATATATACACACAGCTAAATTAACTCTAAATAGAGGTACTTGTGTCATTGCTATGCAACTAATGTCTTTCTTTGTTTACGCAACTTATACCTTGTAGAACCTTTGAATAATGAAGTCTTTTAAGTTTTAACAACATGACTTTCTTGATTTTATAGCTTTTAATAATTTGGATTTGATTGTTAATATAGGTTCAAAATCCTCATAGCATTCAGTATAATGGAACTATCCAAGGCCTTAAGTATATATGGAAGTCTGAGGGTTTTCGAGGACTATTTAGAGGAAATGGTACCAACTGTGCACGGATTGTCCCCAACTCAGCAGTCAAGTTCTTTAGCTATGAACAAGCATCAAGGTAAACTCTTGGATTGTCATGTTGATTCTTTATCACTTAGATGAATATTGATGAAAGAGAAGAAAAAAAGAAATTTATGTTCTGCTATGTCATTTTTCTTTTCTTTTGGTATCATTATGTTAGTTGTCTAATGCAGTTTTATCATTTAGAATATGCAGATGTAAAGACCCTTTTTTAACTGTTCCTGCAGCTGTTGGTTGCAGGCCTGCAGGCTGGTGCCTGCATCCCAGCTAGGCTAATAATTGCAGGCTTCAGTCCTGCTGCATCTGCTGGCTGGTGTGCCTGCAGCCTGTGGACCAGTACACTGCATCAGCCTATGGGTCTGCTGCAGCCTGCTGGTCCACTCATTTTATTGTCTCACTACCTATTTGTGTTCCTAGTTTAAATTTTCAACTAACTGATTAGTGAAAAAGATTTCTGTTTCAATAGGGGCTCAGAAAGCATGCTTGATAGAAATTAAGTGATGGAATTCCATATTTTATCATCTTTGTGGGTCTCTCCAAGATTGTGTACCTTTCCTTGACGTATGTAATTATCCATCCTTTTTTAACAAACCAGTCAACCAACCGTGCCTTTATTTTAGCGGTCTCAATTGAAAAACATTTTTCACCAAATGGTGTTATATACCATAGACAAGTCTGCATCAAACAATTACAAAATTAAGATATAGCTAACCATGGGATTTCTCAAATGCGGGTTTGGTATTGTGCTAAATCACTCCTAACTATCCATCTACTTAGATCCTATTATCTGAGGTTAGCTTCCATTGTTCTTACTGTTGCAATTTAATGTTGTACATTTCCCTATTCTTTCTGATGATTGGATATGAACCTTGTCGCAGTGGAATTTTATGGCTTTACCGTCGGCAGTCTGGCAATGGTATGACCTATCCTTATATTCTGTTTTTTCTTTGATTTAGGTATTTTATTTGATGCTACGAACTGATGCAGTCATAGGTCTTCCCTTAAGTTTCAGTTATATCATTTGAAAGAAATTTGCTACAGACGTATGCCTCTATGTAATAATCTTGAGTTCCTGTACCATAAATATTCTTGCATATGACACATGTATGTATGAGGTGGTTGAAGCTTCAAGAAATAGAAATACTAACACCCAAGAATTATCTAGAGTCACTTCTTTTAAACTCCTTTTTTTGCACTTATGTATATTGGTGGCACAAAAAAAAGTGAATTTGATGCAATACTTTTGTTTATTGGTTTCTGTATTGCTATTTTATTGGAACACTCTGCCAATCAGACATTCCAGGTGGCATGTGATTACTATGTTCTGAATTCACTACCTTATCCATCACATATTGGCACGGTAACAATTCTCAATAGCATCTTGCATACATTTTGGGTTTTCTGGCAATTAGACATTAAAGCAGCTGAAAACAACTATTTCTTCCTATTTAGTTCTTTGACCTTTTTGCAATTGCTGTCCTCATTTCCTGCTTGAAGAGAAACCTTACTGTTCTGGTCTTCTTCTGCACCAAATTGGAGCTTTTCATTAAGAAGTACAACCAAATTTGTCTTGCAAATAACTTCTCTTAGGTATTCTTACCCTTTTTTTTAATATAGATATTTGTTTATAGGGACACAGCTTTCAGAGAATCTGTTTTGATATTCTTTATGGAAAAATGAGTGGTTCTCATGGCAACAGCAACAATTTGTTTGATGCCATGTCAGGCAGCTTGGTCTCTGTGCTTTTGGAGTGAGAAAAAAAGGGGAAAATCATTCTCATGTTCTGAAACCAAGCTAGTTTGGTCCTTGGGTCCGCCTTTGTTTTTATCTATCGTGTTGTTTTAAAGTGAAAAACTGGAGTGCTGTTTCTGTTTAAATAAATTAAGTTTTATAGTTGTGTGGAGGAAGAGGATTTATTTGTTGGGAACAGCATCTGATGTGTTTGATTTAGAACCATTTAGGTAATAATGAGAAGTTGGACATCTTCCAAAGATTATAAGCTAATTCATTGGCTTTAATTTGTGAACTTGAAATGGCAAAATTGATGACAAAACATCTCTTAGATTTTCTTTTTTGTATCTCAATTTATGCAGTGTGCTTTTTGTGTAATTGGACAACTGCTTTCCATGTGGACAAAATCATTTGACTTGGTATTTTCAGATGGACAGCAGATGGTCATTGGAACTAGTTATGTATCGGCCATGCATTTGAAATATCTTAAGTCTCTCTTAATATGTCAAATGTCTTTCATTTTTTATTTCTAAATTGGTAACATATAACTTTGTGTTAACTTAAGCAGAAGATGCTCAAATCACTCCTGTACTACGTCTTGGTGCTGGAGCATGTGCTGGAATTATTGCTATGTCTGCTACTTATCCAATGGACATGGTCCGTGGAAGAATTACAGTTCAGGTACCCTTTCTAATTTTTGCTGACACCAGATGTGTCCCTTTATGGTTCAGTTATCTAACTCCTCCCCATGCTCCTTTAACATCTTTTCTCTATGCAGACTGAAAAGTCACCTTACCAGTACAGAGGGATGTTTAATGCATTGGGCACTGTTTACCGTGAAGAAGGTTTTCGTGCTTTGTACAAAGGGTGGCTTCCATCTGTCATAGGAGTAGTAAGTATTTCGAAGCATCTATCATTATAACTGTGTATAATCAGGTGTTGTGTAGTTTGATCTTTGATTTTGGGGCATTGGAGAAACTGAATTTCCAGTGAAAAAGTATCTATTCATATCTAACAATGTTTAAGAAAGAGGCCAACCTTTTTTTTTTTTTTTTACCTTTTGCTTATTTTTCATGGTTTTTTTCCTTCCATTTATTATTGTTAGTTTTGCTGGTGCTATGACATCCTTCTGCAAATTTTGGGAAAAACCTCGTGTACAACTTTAGCATAAAAGGAGCCAAACTACCATAAGCATCTAAGTTTACTAGGAATTTTGGTGGGACAGGCATGCTATTTTAATTCCAAAACATAAAAGCTCATGATGAGTATTAATGTTCTGAGACATAGTTCCTTGTTGGCTTCATCACCAAGCAGGGCAGAAAAATAGATAATGTTAACGCCTATCTATCCTTTTTCAGCCTGTTAAATTTCAGAATAACTAACTGAGACCTTGATGAATCATATATGTCAACATGAAATCGATGGCTGTCTCACAAATATTCTGTTTTTGTTTTCAGATTCCTTATGTAGGCCTCAATTTTGCTGTTTATGAATCACTGAAGGATTGGTTAGTTAAATCTAAACCATATGGTCTTGTTGAAGACTCGGAGTTGAGTGTTGTCACAAGGCTTGCATGTGGCGCTGTAGCTGGAACCATTGGCCAGACTGTTGCCTACCCTCTTGATGTCATACGCAGAAGAATGCAGATGGTGGGTTGGAAGGATGCTGCCTCAGTCGTGACAGGTGAAGGCAGGAGCAAAGCCCCTTTGGAATATGCCGGAATGATTGATGCATTCAGGAAAACAGTGCATCATGAGGGCTTTGGGGCCTTGTACAAGGGTCTTGTCCCCAATTCAGTAAAGGTTAGTAGATTTTGTTTGTTTCGTCGATTACGAATTAGGAATCAAAACTTAAATTCTCTCATTATCTCTGCTGTTCCATTATCACATTGTTCTGTCTTTTTGGGGTTACAGGTGGTACCATCCATTGCGATTGCCTTTGTGACATATGAGGTCGTGAAGGATATTCTCGGAGTAGAAATGAGAATATCTGACTGAAGCCAGAAATAAGGTTGAAATGCAGCTTTTCTTTTGTAGGTTTTGTAGGGTTCCTTCAAAGGTAGGATATATACATATATTCCACATTCAACCCTCACCCCGTGTTGACGATATCCAGCTATTACTTTTGATAACACTGCTGGACATGTAGCATTCCTCCTAATATCCAAATAAATGGAGAGAACATGTAACTCTCGAGCAATGTATGAAGCATTTTCTTTTGAATGCTTGACCGTGAATCCCTCGGCAAATAAATGGAGAGGCATTCATTCGTGGAGACGAGGGGGGTGCACATGGCCTGCCTGTTCTTCCAAAGTTAACAATAAACGTGTAATGAATGCCTCGTTTAAGTTCGGGCGGACGAGTGACAAAGAATGCCTACTACTACTAGTTTCTTTGTTGAAGCAGTCGGTACTCTTTGTCACAGTTAACAATAAACCGTGTACTGGCGGATTGAATGAATGCCCTACTACTAGTTTCCTTTTTTCTTTTTTTTTTTAGAGGGTTAATCACCCCAGTAGCAGTAGTACTCCTCTTTCACTCTGTACATGGTGATAAGAGTAAGAAATCAAACAATCCATCTACCCAAAACATAATAGCCGAGCCGGGGGACTCTACAAGCGACGCCTATTGTTGCTGGGTTTAAGCCTCACCAAGTACTCACCAAGTTGATTGTACTTCTCGTGCTGGTAATCAATCATCTGGCTCAGCTGCTTTATTGCCTCCAGTTTCTCCTTGTTTCTGGCCACTATCTCCTCTTCCTTTTCCCTCACTGCCGTCTCCAGTTCTTCCAGCCTCCTGTCGGTTTCGATGCTCCTCCATGACACTTTCTCCATCTCCTTTTCCTTCTCACCTAACCGATCCCTCAGACCCTCTGCCTTGTGCTTCAGAGCTGCCATTCCCTCCTCGCTTTCCTTCAATCTCACTGCCATGTCTCGTAACTTCTCATTCATTTCTTGCTTTTCATACAGTTTCTGGCGTAACCTTGTCTTCATAATCTCCGCATCCACTGTGATCCAGGCTAGCTGCCTTTCTATCCCACAATGTTTCTGTTTAAATTCCGATTCTAGCTCATCAAGTCCCTGGCAGAAATCTGAAACCCCGGACCCAACAGCTTCGATTGTTCCCGTGAGCTCTGCAGACATTATCCTGGTCTCGTTTTCCAACTTTTTAACATTGCATTGCAGCTCTGCAATCATCTTCATGTGCTTCGCTTCTTTCTCTCTGTATTCTGTTTCTGTAATTTTAAGATTCTGTTTAAATAAGCAAGACTGGGTTTCCAATTGGCCCTTAAGGCCGGCAACCTCTTTGATAATTACTGCTCTTTCTGCTTCCGAAACGTTATGGTTTACCTGAAGTTCTTTAACACTCTCCACCAACTTATTTATTTCTTTCATCCGCTCTTCGCCGACAGCCTCGGCAACCTCTAGCTTCTGACACGACTCATGAAACCGATACTTAAGTTGCTTACACTCCTCATGCAAATCATTCAAGCTACTTTTCAGAAATAGCAGCAACCTTTCCTGTACGGTAACTTTTTGTGTCACCTCATCATCAAAGTTGTTCGCCAAATTCAAAATTTCCAAGCATCCGTCTCTTACTGCTTTCATCTGATCTTCCAGTTTTGAATCCAGATCAGAGTTCCTCTCATGCATGTCCATATTTTTTTGCAGTAGAGTAGAGTTCTCTTCGGTGAACGCTTCCAGCTTATCTGCTTGCTTCCTGATGGATGCCTCTGCCTGCTCCAATTTTGAGATCAATGTACATATTTCTTCCTCAAGAACTCCAATTTGTTTGGTAAGTTCACTCAGTTTGTGGTTGGCCAGTTCTACTTCATGACTTGAATCATTAACCTGATTTTGTAATTGACCATTATCAGTTTTTAACTGCTCTATTTGAACCGTCAAATCCTCAATAATCTTCTCAGACTCCTGTAGCAGCCTTTTGTTTTCATTCAAGGTTGAGTTCTCCTCTTTCAAATGCTCCAGCAAATGTTGTAGATCTTTTATCTGAATCCCTTCTATCTCTGACTTACTAAATAGCTCCGAATTCTCCATTGTCAACTTTTCTATTTGTTGACCAGCAGCTTCAAGTTTGTTTTCTGCATTAATCAGTTGGACTTTGGTTGCTTCCAATTCAGCATCCAGATTTTCTACTCGCACTCGTAACTCTGATTTCTCAATCTCTAGCTGATCTCTCTGAGATTTGAGATCAGTGATCTCTCCCTCAAATAACTTAGCTTTGGCAGATAGTTCTTCATTTTCTGAGATGAGCACAAGCTTCTCATCGCTTGTTGCTTCCAAAATCTGTTTCAACTTGGTCTCTTCCTGCTCTTTTGCTTGAAGTTCCATCTCGAGGACTTCGTATGCCTGGGAGCTCTTCCTCTTCACCTCCTCTATTTCCAGAGAAAGCAACTCCACTTTTTGCTGTCCTTCTTCGGCCAATTGCATGGCCTCTTTAAGTCGTGATGCCAAATCACTATTTTCGGCTTCTTTATCTTTTAGTTGCTTGTTCGAAACATGGATTGCATTCAGCAATCTGGTATTTTCATTGTTCAACAGTTCTGATTTCGTTTTTAGATCATCAATCTCAGAATTCAAAGCTCCATTCTCTTCTTGTGCATCTCTCAATCTGCTGGTCAGTTCATGTCCATTTCTATTAGCAGCTTCCAGCTCAAGCTTCAACATTTCGTTTCCAGACAACAATTGTGTTATCTTGGATGATAAATCATCAGTTGCTGATTTCAGATTTAGGTTAGCTTCATCTCTCTGGTCAGCCAAAGCTTTCTCTGTCCCCTTTATCTTGCTCACAAGTTCAAAATTCTCTGATAAGATTGCTTCCTTTTCTTTATCTATATCATCAATCTTCTGGTTTAGATAAGCCAATTCTTGAGCTTGTTTTTCTGACTCTTGCTTTAAACTCATGTTATCGGATTCCATCGTCATTATCTTGTCCTTCAAATGACTGATTTCAGATATGTGTTCTTCGATGTATTTTTCCGACTCTTGTAACTTGCTCAATGCTTCCATTTTTTCTGATATTAGAATTTCAATTTGTTCATGCATGGTACATATGCTTTGATTCAACTCATGGTGTTGCTTAACAGAAGCCTCTAACTTTTGCTCGAGATCTCTGTTCTCAGATTGTAATGTCTTAATATTCTCTTGCATAATGTGGATTTGATTTTCCAATATTCTGTTCATGTCTTCGGTTTCTCCCAACACATCAACACCTTCAAGATTTGTGATCTTTGCAACCATTGAGGCAGCTTCAGCCTCAAGCTCATGGTTTCTCCTAATTGCACCTTCAAGTTGCTCCTGCAAGTTAGTGTAATGTTCCAAAGAGATGTCTGCTTTGGCTTCCCCTTCGTGATTCTTGCCTGAGTTCTTCGTGGAAAGTTCTGACTCCGAATCTGGTGAGTCTGAGGAGTCCGAACTGTCTGATGTAGAATTAACTGAAAAGTTGCCATTGTCTTCCTTTTGGCGAAATTTCTTCTTTAGTTTCTCTGTCAACTCATCGTAGCAGCCATATAAAGCTTGATAACCTTTATGAATATCCTTAATAAGAGAAGTTAGTTCAGACTTGTTTACTGAATTAAAAGATACTGTATCACTTTCTTCTGCAGTTATGAGCTGGAGGATCCTCTCCACATTCTTCTCAGTGTCTACAAGAAGAAATGTGTAACTTATTTACCAGATTACATAAATGAGAAGAACCAATATATCACTGATAACGATGTGAAAAGTATTTGAAAAAAAAAATTGAGAGACCAATACTAGTAGCAGCAACTAGAGTTGGATAATTTGGTTTCCTACTACACAAAGATCAGAAGTCCTTTATTTACTTCCAGCACTAGTTAGTGCAAAGGAAGAAAGGATAAAGAATGCATCAATTTGGTTTACATGAACAAAATTATGAGGCCAATGACACTTTGAATTGAACTTTGAATTTTTTTTTTTGCTAGAGCTCATGTGTCAATGATTCTTCATAAGAAAAACTAAATTTCATAGGATCACAAATGAGAGATCCCTTGCAATAGCCATACCGTTCTTGTTCTCCAGTTTCTCAGTGTTCCCTCGATGGACATGGGTCCTAATGGAAGAAATAAATTTGCTTAGTTTGTTGTGCCGCCTCATCTCCAAATCCTTGCAGTTACTTCGGAACTTGGATATCTCCTGAGCAAAATTTATTCCCATTAATTAGGAATCATCCATGAAAATGCCAAAGTAAATTATTATTTAGATTATCAATGAAGAATTTATTAGTATGATAAAAGAGGATCTTTTGTTTTTACATTAGAGGTGTAATCTCACCAAAATATTATACATATACATATGAAGACATGAAACTTGCAAAGAGAAGTAATCAATCTTGTCACAGATAGTCAAAAAAGTAAATATCTGAGTCACATCTTGTAATATATATTTTTTTTCCTACACAGAATTGCAACTTCTTTCCACAAACCATATCAAGAGCAATAGTCAACATCATATTATTCAAAATATAAATCAAACAAATAGCCATCTATTAGTATTATTATACATGAGTGACGTTATAGTCCAGTTGTTCTACCTAATAGTATAATAAGGTCTGTTCTCCATAGAAATCTAGTCTAGAGCTGCTTTGAAAATGAAAGACAAAACAAAACAATTGAACAACAGGTTGAATAGGTCACCCTATAAAACAACTCCGAAATATATAAGAAAAAGAAAATATCCACAAATGAAGTCAACAATCAAGTCAATAGCCATCTCACCTGTGTATGTCAATCACCCAATAATGCACTCACCCAATAGTGGATAAAAAGATTTTATCCTATGGGATGTGTTTAACGTTCTTCTAATGGTGGATGAAGAAAACCATATCGTACTTCAAACAAAAGATAGAGTGGTGCCCTCACTTGTCAAAGTAGAAATACGTTCCTCCTAACAATGGATGAAGCAACTATATAGCTATCACATCTAACGACTCACTAATCCCCGAAGGAAAATCGATCTGACTACCCGCTAATCCCCGATTCCGAAGGGGATCACCTTATCTACCCTTGGTAGGAAAACAAAATCATCTCATAACATGATAGGTCATATTTATTTTAGGATGAAATAATCTCATCAAAACATCTCAAGTTAGTTCCCCTCCAAACATCAATAATGTCAAAAAAACATACATTATTAGCCCTTAATTGGCATGAAACCTACTTAAATTTGTCCAATTGAAGTGAACAAGACCTAATTTAGCTAGAACCTAACTAAACCGACCACTAATCCTCATTTAATCGGTTTGAAACCACCCTAGACAAATTTAATTTAGGCTTAATTGGGTTCAATTTGGATCAAACGAACTCGAACCGATCAAATCGATTCAACATCACCCTAAACTGGCATGAAACAATCAACCGATCTGGTTCATTCAATTATATGGCTTGAATCAAGCAAAGGAGAGAGAATTAGGCTAGGCCACAAGTGCTCGTCCCAACAGCTAGAGAGAGAGGCGATGGGTTGGTCTGAGGGGCAGGCTACGTGGGCTAGGCCGAAAACCATCCTACGGGTTGGGCTGTGCTTGGCCTACAGGTTGGACCACATATAGCCTCGATTGGACAAGACCCACGCACATGCGACTTGGTTAATCGAGTCCAATCAGAAGCTTGACTTAGGTCAGACCCAACCAAGCCTCCTTTGCAATTCGATTTCAAATTTTTTTACGACGTCATTATTAAATTAACATGAAACGTAAAAACTTTCATCAAATGGTTAAATCATAACAAAATTGCAAGATGATTAAATGTTAATATATGAATTCAATTGTAACATGATAAAATTACATTAAAAATTAGCATTTCAATTATATATATATATATATATATATATATATATATATATATATATATATATATATATATATATATATATATATATTAGAGCTTTT